CTCTCTCTCTCTCTCTCTCTCTCTCTCTCTCTCTCTCTCTCTCTCTCTCTCTCTCTCTCTCTCTCTCTCTCTCTCTCTCTCTCTCTCTCTCTCTCTTCCTACTCTCTCTCTCTCTCTCTCTCTCTATCTCTCTCTCTTTCTCTCTCTCTCTCTCTCTCATTCTCTCTCTACAGTAAACCATCGCACATCCATGCTCTGGTCGTCACGCGACACTCACGCGATGCCATTAAGCAAGACTGTGTAATCTGATAGGGAACGATGCGAACGAACGCAGGATGCACGATACCACCAAGATAACATTGCACGACAGGTTATAAGCCCGCGAGCTTTCCTATCACGGCTCACATAGGGAAAACTACCGTCATCCCCTAATTCGTTAAAGAAGACGTTTTTATTTCTGTAACCATCTGATGGCAGGGATCTGAAAATGTCATTTAGTTATCATACTAGAGAAGTGTGTGGGCTATAGGTGTTTTATGCGTTTCTAATTTATGCTCACAATGCTACCACTGTCTAAAATATCAATCACGACCGAGTAAAGTCAGTACGCTCAGACTAGCACCGTATAACTAGCGCTATCACGCTAATGACTGTGCCCAGGATCAATATCAGTTGGTCACACACGCACGTTAATTGCACATAGAATAGAGCGACGGATACACGTACACCGGCACACAGTGTCAGTCATGCATTAAAATGCAAGAGCACTACTTAATATTACACACGCACGCACGCACGCACGCACGCGCGCACGCACGCGAGAAACCTATACAAACACACGCACGCACACGCACGCGCGTACGAAGGCACATACACTGACACATCACTTACATGCATCGCGTGCAATACACCCTCACATGAACAATGATCGCTCACTCACAAACGTATTGGGGGTGTCACGTAGACTTACGCCAGCTTAGACAAACGTACACGTGGACAGTATTCTAGTATACCATAGCATAGATGCACAAACAGTGTTAATACCGAAATTGTATTATTTAGGAAAACTGAAAATGTAAAAAGATCTATAGTCTAAGCATGTAACGACGTAATAAGATTGGAAGTGTGTCAGGAATATAAATGCGTTGTTTGCAAACACATTAACTTTGCAAACGGACGTTTTCATGCATGCCCCAACATCGATCCCCCACTGAAACGGATTTCATAACGTCAAATTCAGAAATGTAAATTCGTTTACAGACACGCTCAATGCAAAGTATATTACGTATATGTGACTCGTCGAGTTAAACAGAGACGAATGACAGACGTACATGTGGGAAGTGAGCACAACATCGCGAATGCTGAACTTTCTATTTCTTACGTGATTTTGAGGTACTTTTCGAAGACCCGTCGATTGTGCTCGGCGCTTTTGCGATGCGTGTTTTGCCGATTCCAGAATGGATCCAGCGATGTTCCGGACGATATATCCTTGAACAATCCCAGCCAAGACAAATGTTCGACATTCTGAAAATGTATTTTTTTAAAGAAGATTTTAGAATAATATAATGCTATTGCAACTACAACACACTTACGTGGACAGTATTCTAGTATACCATAGCATAGATGCTATAGTACACCACTATACTATAGCTTAGATATGTTTAGGATCCTAACAATACTGTAATAGAATGTCATACAAGATTATTCACTCTATGCTTGTACGAACCAAGATACTAATGGATTTTCGTGTACAGAAAGCTGTCTCTACAGAACTCCTAACTTCATTACTAAGTGGCTGAGATGTCATCACACTTTTCAGTAGCGATCACGTGTAAATCTCCCTCAAGACTTGATCGTGGACTATACATAACTAAAGAAATCATGCAGTTACGGTGAACCTAGATGCTTATTGAATATGCACACAGATTCACACCGCTATACTGAGCGGAGCTTTTTAGTACCGGGTCACTGAGATAAAACCATTACAGAATAGGATACGTGGAGGATATTATGACACGAATCGATAGAATCAGCATAAAGAACATCCGCTTGTTGTGAAAGTACTATCCACCCGGCCAGCTGTCACCAACATCAGAACACAGAGCAGACACATTAAACATGCTGATTTTCGTAAAACATGGGAGCATTTCATTATTTCGCTAAGTGTCGTTACATTGTTTACACGGGAGCACCGCAAATTTCACTAAAGTCGTGAGCGACTCGGCGCTCCGAAATAACTCGACGGAACGCCTGTAAATGCTCGGCAAATGTTGTCAGTTAAGTCTTCTGAAAGAGCTTGTTAGAAACGCTGTCATGCTGGAGCAACGAGGCTGACTAGAGGCCAGCGCAATGACGTCACCAGCTTGAGACCAAGCGTACAGAGTGAGAGCAAGGTTACCAGGGTCAGACCAAGGTCACTAGGATCACATCAATATGGCACTAGTAAGACCGAGGTCACAAGGATGAGAACGCCATACTAGGCTAAGACCCTGTATAACACTTCTCATATACATATTTTATAGATGTGTTTATAGACAGACAATCAAATGGAGGCACAAACAATTAAAAAAACACAATTCAAACCCTCGTAATTAACTCATCAACAGTATTCACATTAAATGAATCTGCAGACGTCACATTTGTACATGCGCGGCGACAGAATGGCAACATCACCGCTAGTGATGGGAATCGGCTGGAATTTCATAATCGATTACCGGTTTCCCTTAACCGATCGATAATCGATTATAATCGGATAATCGGTTAATAATAGCATAGATTTAATTTAATCTTACTTTGTATATACAATTATACATAGCATTCAATATTATCATGTTTTATGATCATGTATTAATTCTGTGAAGGTTGCTGTATGTATATCAATGTCTGTTCCTATACAGTATTTAATCAATTTAAAAAGAAATGGTTTAAATGCCTTTATTAAAACATTAAAAGTACTCTCGTAGCATTAACATTAGTCGTAAGTGTTATCGTAGCATTAACATTAGCATTAACTTTACGATGTTTCTGACAACGGGCCCCTGCAGGACTTGTGCTCTACTTGTCATATCAATTCACACATCGTGAGTACAGTTCCTTGTTTGTTTGTTTTGGTATTTCCAATAATCGATTATTTGTTTTCATACATCATCGGGACATCACTAATCACCGCTAGTGGGTCGTACCGTCACTCGTACGTACTTCAAGTTTTTCGCGGAACTGCTCGACTTTGTTGCGGACGTCGTAGACTACCGACGGCGTCTCACCCCCATCCAACATCATCTTCTTCTCCAAGTGCTGGAGCCTGAAACACAAGAACAGTTTGTTCACGTTTTTGCGACGATAATGCTATCTTTGCATTTTGCTATTTTTTGGAATTTCTCTGTGGGGGCATCTGTGAAATTCTGTGTTTGCCGAGCCTCAAATATTTACACTCATTAATTTTAATGCACACAGATATTTATTTTATTTTTTTAAGGACCGCATTCTTAGAAATTTTATACCCAACCTAACCCAGAGTATAATTGATGAGCACATTCACCCACATAGATATATTCTAGTATGTTTTATCCAATACTGATGTGTGTGTGTGTGTGTGTGTGTGTGTGTGTGTGTGTGTGTGTGTGTGTGTGTGTGTGTGTGTGTGTGTGTGTGTGTGTGTGTGTGTGTGTGGGATTTTGTGAGTTGTGGCGAAGTGCGCGTGCGTGCGTGCGTACCCCCATGCACGCTACATTTAGTTTAAACAGCTCAAGCATGGGCATGCACGCAACAGTCGCACACGCCACATATATTATGCCACCGACACACGGCGATTTATGTACATATGCTTTCACTGTGTATGGCCGCGGTTAAATTTGCATGTCCTCATTTCAGCGAGTAATCGAGTATACACGGTATACA